CCCTGGTGCTCCTGCAGCCAGCCCCTTCCTGGGGTTTCCACAGAGGCCACCCTCCCCGCAGTGTCTTTCTGTCATCGGCCTTAATTAGGCACATTTGGAGGTCAGCATGGGGTCCTCCGCCAGGGTGACTTATGCGCCCCACCACAGGGCCTGCAGGCTCACAAGGGGGTGTTCAGCTTGTCTATGCTGGTGGCAGTTCTGTGAATGAACCTTCCAGGCGTCCTGGATGGGGACCGGGGGGGGGGCCTCCGGCCTCTCACAAAGCAGCAGGAGCGTCCAGGACACCAGCAGCTGCAACCGTGCGGGGGGCTTGGGGGTGACAGGCAGTGCCAAGTCTGGAGCGCAGGAGACACAGACCGCCACCCACGTCGCCTTCGCTCAGCCCAGCGAGCCTCTGCCTCTGCCTCCACGTGACTCAGAGGGAAACCGCCACCTTCAGATTTCTCTGCCCATTTTTCAGGTGAGAAAGCCTGACCCCTGTGGGAGGTCCCACACTGGGAAGCGGGTAGGGGTGGGGATCCACGGCCTGCACTTTTGAAACGGCAAGAAAAGCCGTCCTTGGAGGGTCGGTGGCCACGTTGAGCTCACAGCTGGGTGAGCCTGCGCTGCGGGAGGGGTGGGGCAGAGCTCCCTGCGGAGCTGCAGGGAGGAGGGTGGGAGAACACGGCCTTCTGCACCCAACACCGTGTCCCAGCCCAGAGCCCGGCCCAGACCCCAGGGACTTGCGCAGCCAGGACAGAGGTTCCGGAGCCCTTGGGCCTCTCGCAAACTCCTGGGGCAGGGGCTGGGCAGCCCCGTGGTCTCATCCCTCATGCCGGCCTCTAGGGCTGTCCCAGGGCTCTTCTAGCTTTAACTCAGTGTCCATCCCCTCCTGTCCCAGGAGGGCCATGGCTGTGCTCAGCTTAGAATCTCAAAGGACAGCCACTGGTCAGATGGGGACACAGATGGGGGACAGGGGCCATTCTGTTGCCTAAGAATTCAACCAGAGAGATCAGCTGGGCTGGGTGGTTGGGGAAGCACAGGGCCCAGCCTCCAAGTGTCCACATTTTGGTGATTCCAGGGAGGCCCCTGGCTGGTGAGCAGCCCGTGTGCTATCTCACTGAGGCCGGTGTGTTCACCCCACTTCCTGCAGGAAGAATTGGAATTGGTGTCGGTGGTGGAGCGGGTAGTGGTGGAGATTATGGTAATGATGGCAGAACTTTTTCCTGAAACAAGAGCTCTGAAGAGAGATTAGGGATCTCTGTAAAAGGGATTCCAAATGTCCACAAGCCATGGATGTGAAGGGAATGGCTGATGTGGACGGATGGGAATTGTGGGAAACTGGATTTTGAGCGTTCTTCTAAAAGCAGCGGCACTTACTCAGGGCCACCAATTTTTGCTGGGAGGAAGCGGGGGCTTTATGTAGCCACGTTTTCTAATACTTCAAGAGACACCAGAAATCCTATGAAATATTCTGCTTTGCAAATATTGGCAAATAACTCAAAAACCTAAAGAAATGTTGGTGTGCCACAGAAGACATATTTATGTGAAATATGAAAACCTCTTTTCAGAATGAAGGTGAAGTGAAGAAGAAACAGAAATCCAGGGCCTTGGGAGCAAGACTCCTGCCCTCCACCCACTGCGTTCCAGGAAGCTGGGCCAGGGTCCCTCCCAGACCCCTGCCCTCCACCCCCTGCGTTCCATGAAGCTGGGCCAGGGTCCCTCCCAGACCCCTGCCCTCCACCCCCTGCGTTCCATGAAGCTGGGCCAGGGTCCCTCCCAGACCCCTGCCCTCCACCCCCTGCGTTCCATGAAGCTGGGCCAGGGTCCCTCCCAGACCCCTGCCCTCCACCCCCTGCGTTCCATGAAGCTGGGCCAGGGTCCCTCCCAGACCCCTGCCCTCCACCCCCTGCGTTCCAGGAAGCTGGGCCAGGGTCCCTCCCAGACCCCTGCCCTCCACCTGCTGCATTCCAGGAAGCTGGGCCAGAGTCCTTGCGAGCCCTCCAACCCCCCGGTGGCTCCTACTCCCTCCGAATCTGTCTTCCCTCACTTCTGAGGCCCCGGGAGTCCTGGATCCCAGGGGCACCTCCTTAGAGAAAGCAAGTGGGGCCTGACTGAAGGGGGTCCCAGGTTCCAAAGGGTGCCCCAGCTCTCCTAGGGCCTGGCTGTGCGGAAACCGCAGCAGCTCTGCTGTGGAAAGTGATATTCAAATCTAAAAAGTGCTTGTTTGGGAAAACTCACTTCCCAGGGTCTATAATTGGAGCCGTGGGAACATTTACACTAACGGAGAATTAACAAAAGCTTATTGCTGCAGTTAAGAGGAAACCTCAGAATTTCCTCAGGAGGGGCCCCAGAGGCCCTGCCCAGCTCTGCCAGGGGCCCACTTAGAGACAGAGTTCTGACCAGGAGGAAATGCCTTTTCTCTGGGCCTGGGCCACAGGGGCAGAGGAGAAAATCAGAGAGAGGGGGAGGGAAAGAGGCGGGGAGCCTGGGGCTGGGGTGGGGCGGCCTTCTCGCTCTGGCCGCGGTGACCGTGGCTGGTCTGTGCCTGCCTTCCACTCGCATTTCCTCTGAAACGCTGCCAGCGGCCCGGGTGAAAAGCAAGGTCATCTTACAGACACGGTCAGGACCGGACGGCCCACAGGCTTAGGATTTGTCCAGGCCACATGCTCTCCACTGGTGATCACAAATTCCCTTGTGTTTCCCCAGATTAATTGTGGGTGTCCCGATCTCCCAGGACTGCAGGGATGACCTTGGATCTGGAGCCGTGGCAGCTGTGAGGTGTTAAGACGAGGCGACTCTGGAGTGGGGCAGACTGAACCCAGCACTACTGTGGCCTGATGGAAAGGGACAACTGGCCCGGAAACTTGCACATGGGGAGGCCATGGGAGAGGAAGCCAGAGATGGGGAGACCACTTGAGCCAGGGAATGCCAGAGAACACAGTCGCCTGGAGGGACAGGCCGTGCCTCCTGCCTTGGAAGAAAACTGCCACGCAGGCCCAGCCTCCAGAACCACAAGAGGCCACACGTGTTTGGAGGTGGAGGCTCCCAGCACGTGGACTCCGCAGTAGGCCCAGAACGGAACCCCGTGGCTGCTCCAGCCTCTGCCTCCCTTGCCTCGGTTCCTCTGTGTCAGGAGGGGGACCCACGGCTCTCCCAGGCGTCTGTCACCAAATGAACTAAGTTGTGGGGCTCGGGCGGGGCTCACGCTGCGTGGGCATCACCGTGAGGTCAGCGCCTTGCACCTCCCTGCGTGGCCCTGCCTAAGCCAGTGGCTGCTGGTGTTTGACAGGGAAAGCGAGATTAGGCTGAGGTGCAGGAAGTGGGGGTAATTTGCTGGAGGTGACGGAGGCAGACCTGAGCTCAGGCGCATCCCCATCACGGGTCTCCAGGACACAGGAGCCCACGTCACCCCCCACCTTGAAGGGCACCCAGAGGCCACCCTGACAGCACCACAGCATCAGAGTGGGAGGAATCCAAGATGTGGCAGGTGAAGGCTGGGGCGCAGATGGCCACCCGGGGACAGCACCGCCGGCATGCACGGGGCTCAGAGCAGGCCTTGGGTACCTTCGTGTCTCCTCTTACCCCATGACCACCACAGAAACGTGCCCAGGCCAGCCCACCGGCATTGGAGAGTGGGGTCATCTCAACGGACACCCAGACACAGAAGAGCCAGGCAGGGGCAGCAGAACCACTGACAAACCCACAGCCGGCCACGGATTCACAGGCCCAACCAAGTCCTGAGAACCAACAGCCAACCCACAGATCCATGAGCTAAAGTCACTGTTCCCTGCTCTCTCTTCTCAGAGTGCTCACGTGGCCGTCACAGTGTGACGGTGGCGATGGAAACTCCTAATTCACAGGTCCAGGTGGTGGTTCCACATTCTCACAGGTGACACAGGAGGCGCCACAGCACCCCCACAGGCCACGTGACGCCGTGGTTCTGAAGTGCCACAGGACTCAGACCCACAGCAGCAGCCTCCTCCCTGGCAGCCCTGATGTCCCCAGTCAGCCGGCTCGGAGGAGAGCTGCCTCATCAGTCCCGGGGCTCCAGAGGTGAGTTTCCAGAATGCAGAGGCATGTCTTAGCCATTTCCTTCGATAAAGTTGTTAAGATAATTATACGTGGTACTGAAGATACGTAACTGTTATTACAGCTAGCTTAAAAACTATCTGAATTTAATTGATCAATTAGATTAAATGATACCGTGGTGAGAGCTGGCGAACGCCCAGGTCACAGCTTGCAGGGTTTGCAAAACCACGGCCCTGGCCCCGGAGCCCTGAAGCCAGCCCAGGTTTTCTTTCTTTTTTTTAATTGCATTTTAGGTTCTGGGGTACATGTGAAGAACATGCAGGATTGTTGCATAGGTACAACGTGGCAGTGTGATTTGCTGCCTTCCTCCCCTTCACCTACATCTGGCATCTCTCCCCTTGCTCTCTCTCCCCAGCTCCCCACCCCCCCATCCCTCCCCCATGTCCCCCCAACAGACCCCAGTGTGTAGTGCTCCCTCCCTGTGTCCATGTGTTCTCATTGTTCAACACCTGCCTATGAGTGAGAACATGCGGTGTTTCTTAGTGAGGTTGTTACAGGTGATTCTCAGTGGTTCATTTAAAGCCGAGAGCAGGTGAAGCCGCTGAGACGGAGGCCTCACGAGCCCGGGGGGAGCCTCGTGCAGTCAGCTTCCTCACGGAGTCCGAACACCAGGTAACTGCAGCCGGCCACATGCTGAGAGGGCTGAGCACGCCCACGGGGGCAGCACCGAGGCGCGGGCACGGGCAGGCGTCCTGGGCTCCTGCGCCCAGGCCACCTCTGCTGTCTTCCATTTTCCCCACCCGGGTCGTGCACCCTGGCAGCAAACACATACAGCACGGGGCGAGCGGGGTGGGGTCGGGGCCCCTGTGTGCTTATTTGCACATGGCAACACTTTACCTATGATGGCCCCAGAGGCCCAGCTTGGCTGAGGCACCGTGTCCCGTCAGTCCCCTCCACGGGCCTCAGCACATGGAGCCCACGTCGGCAGGTCCCAGCGACCGCTGCCCACAGCATCACACACGTGCGGCGAATGGGCCTGGGAGTGCGCGGGGCGCGGAGTATCTGTGTCTGCTGCGTGGCCGTGAGCAGCCAGGTCAGGAGAAGGACGTGGTGAGTTGTCCTTGGAGGGGGGAGGGCCCTGGGTGGGAGCTGCCTGGAGGTGCAGAAGGGCTGCACGGCCTTGAGGGACCTCTGTGAGAACTCAGCCTTTTTTTGGTTTTTTTTTTTTGAGACAGAGTCTCGCGCTATTGCAGGCTGGAGTGCAGTGGTGTGATCTCAGGTCACCGCTACCTCCGCCTCCTGGGTTCAAGTGATTCTCTCACCTCAGCCTCCTGAGTAGCTGGGACTACAGGCACCCGCCACCATGCCCGGCTAATTTTTTGCATTTTTAGTAAAGACGGGGTTTCACCATGTTGGCCAGGATGGTCTCGATCTCCTGACCTCGTGATCTGCCCACCTCGGCCTCCAAAGTGCTGGGATTACAGGCGTGAGCCGCCGCGCCCGGCTGACAGAGGGAGGGGCTGCTGCAGGGTCAGGAGCAGAGGGTGGTGTTTCCGCCTCAGTGTGACGGGAAGGTGGTGGGTGCTGGAGCTGCGGTCTCAGCTGTTATCCGGCTGAGAGGTGAGGACGCCTGGGGCCAGGCTGGGCTGCAGAGGTGGCCAGAATCGGGCAGATTCTGCACCTCTCCTGGCGACGGGGCCCACCGTGCTTGCTGACACATGGGGAGCCAGGGGTCAACTTTGCCACTAGGCACAGTGGGGACGGGGTAACTGTTCACTGCACAGGGACGGAGGGTCAGGCAGGCGTGGGGCTCCGGATGCTGAGTCGGGGGCTTTGACCCGAGGGTAAAGGCTGCGTTGTCGCCCACCGCCCTCCGAAAGCAGCGGCCCTTCCCACTCCACCTCCAACCCACTGGCCTGCACAGCCCACGAGGCCGGCTGCTTCCTGTTCTTGGGGTGAGCACCAGATGCCTGTGGGGCGGGGGCACCGCTATAGCAGGGGCTGCTGTGAGGCCCTTGGTTTTCCTGCTGGGGAACTCTAGGGGTAAGAGGTGAACCTGGGGCTGCTGGTAGAAATCCTGGGAGGGCCCACCTGGGAATCAAGTCAGCCAGGACGGCAGGATGGCGGGGAGGTGGGGGGAGCGCGAGGGCAGGTGCAGATGCGGGCACGGCCGGTGCCGGTCCCCCTGGGTCCCACCCTGTGCCGCCGCTTACTTGCCAGAACGATTCGTGATCCCCATGTAAGAACCCATGTCTTTGTGGTCATTCGCAGGCGTGCGCGTCCCAGCTGGGGTGGATGAGGCCACGTTTGCCTCCCTGCTTCTGCTCTTGGAGTAAACGTGTCCCTTTTGTGGTCTGTTTAGGGTCGTGTTGTTCACATTTTTGTGCTGTGTTGGTGACGGTGCAGCTGACGTGGCCTCAGGGCAGAGCTAAGGTTCTGTCCAGTGACCTGAGTTCAGGAGGCTGTGGCGGGTGACGGAAAAGCTTCGTGCAGTCCTGTGTGGGGGATGGAGAAGCTTCACTCCGGCCTGTGTGGGGTGCTGTTGGCCGTGAGTTCCATGTGCATGAATCGGCTCTAGACACTAAATACAGTGTCTTTAAGCAGAAGCAGATGTGGGTCAAGGTGACGCATGGATGGGCTGGTGAAAATGGGACCAGAGGCTCCACGGAACCTAGCCCCGTTTCCCGGAGGAGCAGAGGCTCAGCACTGGCTGGAGTGGTGGGGCGTCGTAGGGCGTGGCCACTGAGAATGGGGAGGATCAGCCCCCCAACACAGGAGGATGAGCGGACTTTGCTCCTCCCGGTCCAGCCACGCCCGAGGCCCTCAGCTTACCTCCCAAGTCCTGGTTATAGAAGCCAACCTCCTTCCTCCTCTGTTTACGCTGGATCCCTGCTGCTGCTGACAGAATCTACCCTCCTAACACAAAACCCCGTCCTGCGCCAACAGCAGGGCAACTTCTGTGTTCTGAGAAGTAGACTTCTAGACTCTTACAGGCGGGCCTTCATGGGCTTCCCCAGGACGTGTTCCAGTCGTCGCCTGGGTGGGCAGCAGTGCTCTGCGCACACGCCTGCTCTGTGCGGCTCTGGAGCAGCGAATAGCAGGAGTGGAGGGACGGGGAGGAACAGAGACCCCGCCCTGCCTCCTGCAGGACATCCGAGGACGCTCGAGGACAGCCAGACCCGCTTCCTCTCCCTCTGGCTCTCTCTCCAGCTCTGACTTTTCAGCCAAACTCCCCAGAGAGGCCATCACACAGAAAGATTGATGGCGGTCATTTGTATACACGAGGCGCTCACAGACACTGCACTCCCGTGCCACTTTTGATTTTATTCAGTGTGAAGGAGCAAGCTGTTCCCGCTCACATCGAGGGCTCCTCATAAATCACGCGTTGGGGCTCCTTCCGGGGCGCCCGTTCTCTCCAGTTGCCGCCGGTCAGCAGCAGCATTGCACGGAGCCGAACGTCTCTGCTCAGCTCAGAGCCAGGGCACAGAAAAGGTGCGGCCAGCGAGGGCTGAGGACGGCGAGCGGGGGTCTCCTGCTTCCAGAGTTCCTCCTCCGTCCATCCGGTGCGGGGGCTTGGCCCTGGGGGTTGCGACGGCTAACAACGTCACCCAACTTTTACACAACTCACTCACTCTTGCCACGTACTATCCCGCTCAGATGTGGTGTCCCAAGAGTGAACGGCTCCCCAACCCTCCTGAGGTGGGCAAAAGATACACTCACACCCACACCCACACACTCACACACTCTCACACACATGCACACTCATATGCACACACAATAGCACTCACATGCACACTCATGCATGCACTTATACACACATGCACACGCTCACAAATACACATACGCACACTTACATTTGCACACATGTGCACACATGCTCACACACACCTGTACACACACACATACACACACTTGCACACCCACACATACACTTCACACACCCACACCCACACATGCATATACACACACAAACACTTGCACACACATCTGTGAGCACACACACCCCCATCTGCACTCAGTGCATATGCTTGTGCACCCACATGCACACGCACATGCATGTGCACACACTGCGTCCCCACACCCTGAGGTGGGCAAAAGATACACTCACACACCCACATGCTCTCTCTCACACACACACACACATGCACACTCATATATGCACACACAGTAGCACTCACATGCACATGCACACTCATGCATGCACTTATACATACACGCTGACCCTGGTCCCCTCACAGCACTCATGTCCCTGTGCTTCCTCTCCTGAGGGCAGGGCCTTGCTGAGTGGTTCAGGCCTGGGTGGGCAGGCGGGGAAGCAGGCGAGAACTTCACAGCAAGTTCGGCTTCCTGTCCCCAGGGCCCAGAGGGGAGGTGGCCACATGCCTCTTCCTCGGAGGAGCCAGTGGGAAGGACAGGCAGGAACCCAAGCTGAGAGCAGGTGGGCGGGTGAGACAGTGACCCCCGGGCCTCTCTCTTCTCAAGGGGCTGAGGGTGGAGCAGGGACGGAGGGCCCCAGCGACTCCTCTGCCAACCAGGAAATCACCTGTGGAGGGCGGGGCGTACACGTTGGGCAGCAGATATAGGGCTGTTGGCCCCACAGGGTCGTGGGGTGTCCCTTATGCTGTGCTGAGGTTCAGGGTCTGAGAAGTAAAGAGACAGGACCCTGAAGAACTGGAGAAGAGCAGCTGGACTCGGGGGGCCACGCGAGCAGAGATCAGTGATGGCACCAAATGTCCCAGAAACGTCTGCATTTATTAGGTACAAGCAGGGGGCAGGGCCCTGAGTGAGGTCATCATCTATAGGCTTAGTGATAGGGCATAATAATCCCGTGAGTCACAAGCCAGGGGGCCACCCCATTATGTCACCTGGGCAGAGAGGTGGGCCGTACACAGTAGGGGGCCGTCTACAGAAAAGGGGTCCACCCCCATTAGGTCACCGAGGCAAGGAGGTGGGCTGTGTGCAGCAGGTGTCGTGCGCAACACTTCTTATCTGAGGGCTGGAGACTTCAAAGGATCTCTAACAGAAGGATACTGTAAGCCAGTGTGGTGGGAGCTGACAGACTTGTGCTGTTCTCTTAAGATATTTATGGGAGGGTGATTTGAGCTAGCACAGAAGGGAGAAAAGACTGACAGGGTGCACAGCCGCTGTGACTGGTCACACCAGAGGGGTTCTTCTCCCTCGGTTATTTGCAGGATCTCAGGCCTGAGGCCGACTTTCTACAGGAACTGGATGCGAGGTGCTACAGCTCCTCTATCAGGAGGAGAGGCTCTTGCTCCAAGCCTGCCATACGGCGTTTGCCCTTTCAGGCAGGGACGCCACCGCCTGGGTCTCTGGTTCTC